TGGTGATGGTAGTGGTGATGGTAGTGGCGTTGTATAGTTGTTGTTATTGTTGTTTTTTGTTGCTTTTGTTTTTGTTGTTGCTGTTGTTGTTGTTGTTGTTGTTGTTGTTGTTGTTGTTGTTGTTGTTGTTGTTAATGCTGTAGGGTTTCGTGTTGTTGTTGTTTTTTATTAACATTACATCTTTTGTTGTTGCTGTTATTGTTGGACGTCATGAAGTTTAAGGAACGCGATAGTTGTAATGACTTCAAATGTTTTACTCCTCATCAACGCTATATCTAGAACATTCGGCCTTGCCTGTAAGGGCCAACCCAACCCCGACTCCCACGTTGACATGCACGGGTATTATGCATTAACAAAGAACGATGGTGTCAATATAAACTATAGATAGCCATGTCATTGATATAACAATGAGGTTGGTATCATGCTGGGCTACAGAGCAGATGGTCCGGGCAGAGCGTTCTGAAGTTGGGTTGTTCTGGGGAGTTTTAAGTAAGGCCCACTGCCCATTTGGAGATTGACGTTTAGTTACGAGATCCTGACTCTCAAACAACCTTCTATGGTTGAGAGGCGTGTTAAACCCGTACATTTTATTAATGTATTTCAATTAACAGCTAATAAAACGTGACTCAGAGATCCCGGCTCTTAAAAAACCATGCACTATCGAAAAGGGCATTAAGCAATACAGTTAATGTATTTCGTCCAGCAGCTAGTGAAACGTGACACACAATCAACGGTAAATAATTTTTAATTATCGTCCTGTGTTACACAGCGAAACTGTATGTGCGTAGGTGGTTAGCGGGTGCTCCGGTGTGGTTTGCTCCTTCTTTCCTATCAGACGTCTATCGTCCTCGTCTTCGTCTCCTCCTTCTTTTTTCTGTGTTTGTTACTCCTTTGTAACGCTTCTGATCTTCGTCACTTATTTGATCTCAGTGTGCTGAAAGTACCGTAAAAGGCTTACTTAAACAAAAGTAAGTGTGTAATTAGGCGTTCTGCTACAAGTAGGTCGCGTGTCATTTGCGCGGTCGTTACATGGAGGTGAGACGGTTAGACCGGTGAAAATAACCTCGACGACGTTTACTGATAGGAACTTTGGTTTTGCATAATTAATTCAGAACTGAGCTCTGTCAGGACACTAATTGGATCTGCTTTTGTGATGTCAGCTATTTTGGAGATAATTGATGAATTCTTTTAATAGTTTCCGGCTCTTAGTAACCTAATGCTACGTAGTATACTGTTTATGACGGTGTTAAACTTGTACCACACCATGCAACATGCCGTGGGCGATTGGAGGGAGCTCTGGTGAGGTTGGCACCTTCTTTCCTGATCCTATTTAACATCAATCGTCCCTATCTTTTTTTTCTTTTTTACTTTGTATGTTACTTTCTGGTAAGATCTCTAATCTTCATCAATTTCACTACCTATTTGTGTTGCAAGTGCCATAAAACTTGTTTTATATATATATA